AAAAAAAAAGTGGAAGTAAGGATGAACAAATAGATATTGTACAAGTATAAACAAAAAAAATGGGTTATAATATTAATTTCAGTCAAAATAGAAGTTTAGGTAAAATCACTGAAAAAGCCAAAGAGCATTATTCATCATGAAGATGATGAGCTACGATGCCACGGCACTCTATCCAGGGGGATAGCTTGAGGCTCTGTCTCAAAAAAAAAAATGCAGAACTATTAGGAATAGGACTTAACAAGTGGCAAAATTGGAAAATAGATCCTCAGAATTCACAGAGGGAGAAAGGAGAAATAAATAGAAATGTGAACAACCCATCAAAATTAAGGAAAGAGAAAAAGAAATAATAGATAACAAATAGTAAACATAACAAAGAGTACACCTAAAACCAAGTTTCAATAAACCAGATTCTCCTAACAAAAGACCAAGACTATTATCAGATTGGTTTGACAGATTCAGCAGTGTGCTGTTTCCAAGAATATACTTGTTATCAGACAAGAATGATTTTGGCCGCAAGTAAAAGAAAACTGACAAACAATAGCTTTTACACAGGGGATTATTTTTCTCACATAAAAAAGTCTGAGTCAGGTAGTTGCTGGGGCTGGTTTAGATGCAGGATGCTGCCATCAGGAGCCCCATCTCTTTCTGTTCTTTTGTCTTTCTATTTTTCTGATCTACCGTCCTTGGTTTATTTGCCTTCATCCTCCTGCTTATTTGTGATCTCAAAGTCTCAAGTTTCAGACATCTTATCTACATTTAAGAGGAAAAGACCAGGAGGGATGGCACTAGCCATGTGTGTCCCTCTTATGGAAAGTAATTGCTTTCACAGAAAACCCCAAGAGACTTCTGCTTACATCTTATGGGCCAGAACTTTGTTACATGGCTACCCTACAGCCACAAGGGAGGCTTGAAAAGGGAAGAATTTAGCCCAGCGTATTCTTGCTCTCAACAAAATCAGAGTTCTTTCACACAGGAGGAGCGAGAAATGACTAATGACTGGATGTGCTAGTTGATATAGGTTTTGTTATGCTTCAGTAACA